ACTTACCACAGCAAAGCCCGCAGATCTGTCTCGCTCTAGCTTTTTTTTTTACTCGGTAGAAAAATGAAATTTTTTGTTTTAATGGTCAAAAGGGGTCAAAAGCTTATCAACAAGAGGTCAATACAAAATACCATCCTTCCAATGTGGTTGAATGCCCTTTCGATACCTCGGTGTCCCTCTCACCGCGGAGCGTGTCAGTGCAAGGCTCTTTGATGGATCATGGATTGGTTCACCGAATCGAGGCCCAACTTAGCGGATGGAGCGGTCATACACTCTCATACACTAGTAGAGTGGAACTCATTCGTTCGGTGATCCATGTATCGAGTGTTTTTGGTTGGAGAATTCTACTTGCCTACGATAGTACGTACTAAAATTATCCAACTATGTAGGCGTTTTTTATAGGGCTCGCAAAGTGCTCTTGTAGCTTAGGATAGCTTATGTCTCTGGCGTTCGGAAGGGGCTTGGGTCTTCGTGATTTGAACGTTTGGAATCTAGCGTTGCTTGCACAAACTCTTTGGAACATGGAAGCTAAAAAGACACCTTATGGTACAAATGGATCCATCACATTCATTTAGGGGAAAAGCCTGTGTGGGAATAAAAAATACACAAGGATGACTCGCCTCTTTTCAAATATCTTTTCGAGATCCGACGGACCTTGGTAAACAAAGCGGGAAGTGAGCAAGCCGTGAAAACTCTACTTCATCGTTGGAGTTCACGAGGCAAGCAAGAGGGGTTGAGAAGTTGCTATGATTTCTTAAGGCCCCGCGGTGCATTGGTGCCATGGACGGTTGTTTGGAGCCCTTGCATTACGCCAAAACACTCCTTCATTCTTTGGTCGGGAGTGTTCAATCGTCTTCGTACAAAAGACCGGTTAGAGTTCCTTCATGAAAACCCCACTTGCTCTCTTTGTGGAGCCATTGTAGAATCATTGGGTCATTTATTTTTCGAGTGCTCCTTCAGCTCGAAAATTCGGGGGGTGCTTCGTGATTGGATTAGCCTCTGTCATAGGCCTTTGACACTCAAAGGAGCTCTTAAATGGACCAAAAAAGAGGCACGTGGGGCTAGTTGGCAAACCAAGTTGAAGAAAGCGGCACTCGTGGCTACTGTGTATTTCATTTGGAATGCGAGAAATAGGTTGATTTTTTAAAATGAATCCTAACCTCCAAGCCTAGTAATCCGTAAGATCCAAACTCGTGTTTATTGTACAATTTTTGCGTTGTATCTGAATGTGCTTGCTGAATATGGGAGAAAAACCCTTAGAGTATAGGCTTATCCTTTCATTGGGAAAACTTGGTGGTTGTCTTTATGTTTTATTTTGGGACCTGAGTGAGCAACCAACCTCTGGTTGCCCTCTTACACTTTTATTATTCTCCGCGAGTGAGGAGTCGAGCTTGTGGCTGTCCATTGTGCTTTTGTATGTTGTTTGTCGGTCGTCTGTACTGATTTATAAATTTACATTTACCAATAAAAAAAAAACAAAGAATGTCATCCTTTTTCATGCCTATACACAACAAACTTTAAATCTTTTAAGTTTTATCAAAAGACATTAAAGAAAAGCACGATGAATATGTGGCTTCTTAATATTTCTCTATCAAGTGCACGGAAAAAAAATCTTTATCAATGTTGTGCCAAGATTTGTGTGGCTTGTTAATATTTCTCTATCAATATGTTGTGTCGAGATTTGTATAATATGGATTCATCTGTGTTGATAATAATGAACATTGGCCAAGTGGAAATACAATTTGACTTGACAAACGATTTGCGAATCCATTCTCAAGCTCAAACTTTGCTAGTTAAATATTATAACCTCAATTTTTTTTTTATTATTCTTTTTTTAAAATTTTTCTTATGAAGATTGAGGATTAGGGTAAAAGTTAATTATATCACAGTACTATAAGATATTATAAAAATCCCTAATTATCGACCCTAGCTAGCAACAGGGGTGAGCATGGGTCGTTATGGTTCAAAGATTGAATAATCTTTGGAACCGTATCGAAATTCGAAGATCACTTAAAATTCTATCTTTGGAGCCATACCAAAAGATCGGGACGGTTCAGT